GCCGATTTTCTACGTTGGAAAGAAAGAGGAACAGAAAGACCGACATGGAAGGATATCTCGGATAGAGGGCCTGCTTTCAAGGCGATGTGGGCACAATGGGACTCACTAGTTGTGGAGAATGGATTATTGAAGCGAGTTTGGGAATCAGCTGATGGTAGATCAACAATTTCTCAGCTGGTTGTGCCCCACATCAGAGTTAATGAAGTTCTGGAAGAAGTCCATGGCGGAAAATCTGGTGGACATTTTGGAGTTAACAAGACATTGAGTAAAATTCGAGAAAGATTTTACTGGGTTCAATGTCGTGACGACGTGGAAAGTTGGTGTAGAAGATGTCCTGTATGCGAAGCCAGTAAAGGTCCCAGAACGAGATCAAGAGCTGGAATGAAGCAATACAATGTGGGTGCACCGTTTGAAAGGATCGCCATCGATGTAGCCGGACCATTCCCTTTGACTGATGATGGAAATAAATACATCTTGGTTGCTATGGACTACTTCAGTAAGTGGGTAGAAGCATACGGCATGCCAAACCAAGAAGCCTCCACAGTTGCCAGGATATTGGTCGACAACATGTTTTCACGGTTCGGAGTACCAATGGAATTACATTCTGATCAAGGGAGAAATTTTGAGTCGAACTTATTCAAAAAGGTCTGTGATCTAATGGGAACCAGTAAGACGAGAACAACTCCACTACATCCACAATCCGATGGCATGGTCGAAAGATTCAACCGAACTATGGAAGAACATCTTTCCAAAGTAGTCGAAGAGCATCAGAGGGACTGGGACAGGCATCTTCCCTTATTCCTGATGGCGTATAGAGCAGCTGTCCATGATTCAACGAAGCTAACTCCAGCTAGTATAGTCTTTGGAAGAGAACTCCGCTTACCTTGTGACTTGGTGTTCGGTTCACCAAGTGTTGAAGAAAAGGAAGTACAAGACTACGCAGATGAGCTCCGGAATGGCTTGATGAAAACTCATGAACCTGCTCGGAAAAGATTGAAATTAGCAAGTGACAAAATGAAGGCACGGTACGATCTCAAAGCCAATTCAGAGGGATTCTTCGAAGGAGATCGAGTTTGGCTGTATAATCCTCGACGGAAGAAAGGCGTATCACCCAAATTAACACCATCTTGGGAAGGACCGTATACGGTGTTGAAAAGGATCAACGATGTGGTCTACAGAATCCAACGCAGCCCTAGGACAAAGATGAAAGTCGTTCATCTTGAAAGACTGAAGCCTTATCATGGTGAGGAAAGTTCTGTTTTTGATCGGGACGATCAAATTTGAAGAAGGGGGTAAATGTTACGACCCTGGCGATCAATCCCAGCTACCTGCGATGAATGTGTAAACAAGCCATATTTCTTGGAATAGTAATTAGGTGATTCGACGGCTATTGAGATGACTCGAGAAGATTATCGACCTGTTCACGATATTTCGAGTGGAATCTAGTTGTTTTATTAGGTAGTATAAATAGTTGTTGTTAGGGACAGGAAGAGAAGTCTTTATTTGGAAGCGTTATAATAACGATCGAAGAAGTGTTGTGAATCGGAAGTGTTTAGTACGAGTATTGTTATTATTGTATAGTAGTGTTCAGAATAAATCGTTTTAAGTGTTCTACCGAGTGTTAAATTATTACGGACCCAGAGTAAAATCGTAACAGTATTATTACTCCGGGATTGCCTATTCCTATCCTGGAGATTGTTCAAATTTTTCGGACACCATATTGATATCAACTTCTTTGTTATATTTTGTGAAGTCGTTATTACCTATTGAAATATCGAATCCTATCGTAGGTTAATTTTGAGACAAGTCAGTATTCTCAGAACAAATATTATCACATTGAGTCATTGGCCATTTGCCATTAGCTGTTAACATTATTGTGGGACTCGAAATCTATGGAATCGGTGTATAATTTTACCTGGTCTATCTAATGGATGGACGGACAGGTAAAGACCTTTGTTGGAGGCCGGGAAAGCCACCCAAGATGCTAGACAGGTTGTGACGTTCAGACTCAACCATCCCGCATACTTAGAAGTCGTATTCAATGCTGAAATGAACTCCAGTTCTCTTTCCCTGAAACAATTGGTAATTTGAATCTTCAAATGGCTTGCTATTTTTTGACGTGGAGACAAAATACGTATACAATATACAATAATGGAATATTTATTTATTTATCCATTTATTGTGGGATGCAAACAGGACTTGCCCAAAAAAGTGCATCCTCTGAGTGGTTATATAAACTGCTCCACATTTGAAGTGAGACAAGCAAAAACTTCTATCATTTTCGAATCGTCATAACTTTGGAGTGGATCAACCAATTTTCAATTCCTTCCAACATTCTGATAGCTCATTCCATTGGGTACAACGTCAGTACTTTTTTGTTATTCCACCTTTTCGACATGGAGACCTACTGAGTGATACCTGAAAATGTAATAATTTTCAAAGAGTTTGGGATCACCCCGTTTCACCGGGAATTTTTTTCATGCTTTATTGAGGGCAATAAAATGACGAACAATAAGTTGTTTCGAAATGGTTTTGAATTCAAGAGGATTCATACAGGATGTTTGAATGTATGGAATTTTTCACAACATATTGCATTCTGATATGTTCAACCACCATAAACTCAACTTCAACAGAATTTTACATTGGCATATCATCAACGCCATTACTACAAAATGCCGTTAATAATTATTATCAACACAATATTTATAATGAGAAAATGATAAGTATATAAAATTAACATGGGGCGGTATCATGATAAATTGTTGCCCCACGTTGATGGTTATCTTGAGAAAGAGTATGAATACTCTTCAGTATCAATAAGACATTCATTGTGTTAGGGAAGTTGTCGTTCCAGTTGCCCAAAACTGTTGGTGACAATTTCATACTGGTTGATGACAATAATAATGAACTACCACATCGTGCGAGAATTGTCGCTGAAGTTTGAAGACAACATAATATTGCCTAAAAAAAACATTTTTTGTCACACGTCTTATTGAGCATATTGAAATTTCGAACGAGAATATCTTCGTAATCGTAATCTGGAAACCATGGTTTGTCTGACAAATTCGATGATACCCGGTATGTTTGAAAATGTACAACACATTGTATAGTGATAGCGTTGAGCAGGATAAGCTAATCTGAAGTTCTGTTGAAGTTGAGTTTATGTGGGTTGAACGTTGAACATCAGAACAGAATGCAATATATTGTGAAAAATTATATATCACAACTTCCTGTATGGATCTTCTTGAATCGGAAATCATTTCGAGAAAACTCATTATGCTTCATCTTATATCGCCCTCAATGAAATATAATGAAAATCCCTGCCAAACGGGGCGATCTCAAATTTGCCGTAAATTGCAATATAATGTGAAAAATTCCATACATCGAAACATCCTGTATGAATCCTCTTGAATTCAGAACCATTTCGGGAAAACTCATTGTCCTTCATTTTATCGCCCTCAATAAGACATAAAAATAAATCCCGGTGAAACGGGGTGATCCCAAACTTTTCGAAAATTTTCACATTTTCAGATATCACCCTGTAAGTCTTCATGTCGGAAAGGTGGAATAACAAAAAAGAACTGACGTTTTACTCAATGGAATGAGCTATCAGAATCTTGAAAGAAATTGAAAATTGGTTGATGCAATCCAAAGTTATGACGGTTTGAAAATGATAGAAAGTTTTCCTTGTCTCACTTCAAATGTGGGGCAGTTTAGTTACAATGAGGTATAAATCATATTGAGATAATATAAGAATAAGAAGAACAATTAAAAAACAATTATTGCGGAGTACAACTTGACAGATATTCAGTGGTGCTCTAATTGTGAAAAGTGTGTTCTCAATATGTTTTGAAATTTGCAGAAGTTATTTATACCTAGTATAGCCACTGATGCATTTTATATCATTTTATAATCCATTAGGTAAGTATATCAGTTAAATTATGTTTCTAGGAACTCATCATAACCTTCAACTGAGCTAAAATGTTTTCGAGATAGTTGACAAAAAAAAGAAAAAGCGGACAAAGGACCCCGCACGAAAACACGGGAAATTGGCTCTCGGTCGAATTTGCTGAAATTATACTATGTTGTTGTGGGATGGCTCATTAGAAAAATATGTGAGTTTGAAAAGTTTTGTATGTTTAGTTTCTGAGATATAAGCCGACAAAGTTCGTAAAAACGTCATATCGGGTCTAGTTATGATTACATAAATTATAGTAAATCAGGGTGTATACGAGGCAAGGTGAATTCATTTTTCGGAAAAAAAATTCGAGCACTATTCCAAAACCAACAAGTTATATTTTGGTGAGACATTATAGTTTCAGTCTATTGTAGGCTTCGAAAACGTATTTTCATTCTTGATAACTATCTCTGTTCGAAATATGAATTCTTTGAATTTTGTGTTATACCCCTTTTGGAAAACAATTGACAGCTTGTTTTTGATCACAAAAAAAGTGATTGATTGATACAATTGATTTATTGAAAGCTGAGGTAACTCACTAGCGAACTTAGTTGTCCAATATTGCTTTTCATTCAGATACAGGGTGTGTTAGATTTTGTTGAAGATTATTTAACATGTAATATCTCGAAAACACTTCCGTTAATTTGGATCTCATTTTACTCACACTATTTTGAATATGTTGACTATCATATGCAAAAAGTTTTTCAATTTTTTATGTTTCGTTTCTGAGATATGCATTTTTGAGATTACAGTATTACAGGTATTATAGGGTTATTACCTCGGATATTACTATCGATTCAACAGAACTTTACGGAATCCATACTGTTGAGTTTCATATTGTTATTCAATGCTACCCCTGAAAGGTTATATTCTCCATATTGCTCACTTAATGAAGGTAAATACATTTAAACGTTGACGTGTCTCGCGAATTTTCAGAAAAATCATTCACTCCCCCAGTAGCGAATTTATTCCAGTTAAAGTCTCCACCCTGTATATGTGGCGTATATTCGATTATCGTAATTGTTTTTCAAGAAGCTGGTACTCACCCCTCATCTGTATTTATCAACTGATAAACTGTAATTGTGAATCTTGCATCGGGATTTTTGGCGAGTTTTCTCTTATGCTTGAAAATTCTCAGTTCCGCGCCAACTATATCTTCAGCTATTGGAACATCAGAAATATTGAACCACAGCCTTTTTCCTCTTTCGTGTCTCACGGTAGACACGTGATGAACTGAAAAGTTCGAATGGTTATCATTTCGTGAACACAAAATTTAGCTCGGTATTTAGGTTGTCGAAAAGTTGTCATTAGGAATTATAGATTTTTATTGTAAGGACCTGTGAGTATGAAGTTGACTCAGGAATTTTCTACTAAATATCCTAGTTCAACTAATGAATTATTGTATTGAAGAAACTTCCTCAATGACAATTCTGTAGTCGAAATTTACAAGTTCAAATATTAAGGAAAATTCCGTTCCCAGTTCAAACTAGGAACTTCCAACTGCAAACTCGAACACATTTCCGACTGATGAGTATCGCATTCAAAAGCTTGAAGCCGAAAGAATTAGATTCCTGTTTATCAGTTGGAAATTTCAAGTTTCAATTCGGAAAATTGAATTCCCAGATACAGGTTTTTGATCTGAGAATAAAATACTCTGTACAAGCCCAGGATTTCCAACTTTGTACTCTTAATTTCCGACTCGTAGCTCAGCAACAGTTGCAAGAAAGATTAATTATTAAACATCACTTGAATGACCTCATATATAGCTGATCATGAATTTGAGAGAAAACCGGAGGACAATTCAAACACTTACTGTTACTGATTAAATTTTTGTTCTTATTAAAATTTATCTCAACTTTCTGCTTGTGATTCTTTGTTTATGGGGTTCAGCACCCAAACATACGCTGATGATCTTAGATTCCATCCAAAGAAGAGCCATTCGACTGGTGGGTGATGCCACACTCACCAACGTAGAAAAGTCGACGACCTTTCACATTTCTATATTTAGATACTTCCACGGGAAATGTTCCTCAGGAATCTCTGCTATAATTCCATCACTAGCAATACCAGTCAGACAAACTCGACAGACCCAGTCAGCACAACCCTTCGTAGTTAACCTTGAAAAATGTCGAACAAAACTCGTTCGCCTATAGGACGGCAAAGCTTTGGAATTCATTGTCAATGGAAGTATTCCCAACAACTTATAACCTCCAAAAGTTGAAAAAAACACAACACCTACCTCCTCTCCCAATCCTCCCTAGGTACACGCGATGTATCACGAACATTATAGGAATTTCCTTTCGTGCGCTCCAAGAGATTGAAAAAATAGAATCATGTTTTTGTTTTTTGTTCGGAATGAATAGCTAATTATTTTCAATAATGATTAGGTAATTCATCCCAGCATCAGTGATTCATTTAACATTTTCAAATCAAAATACATATTTCGAATACGGTACACATCACTCAGATCATCAGTCAGGGCAGGATTGTAGAATAGGTGACATAGGCGCGCGCCTAGGGGCCCGCACCACAAAGGGGCCCGCATCACAAAAAAGATACGAAATAATGTCAATGGTCAAGTTTTATTATCTGAGATAGTAGATTCTACGTGCATACTTTTTTTTATGTTCTGATTCGCACGAAAAGGGATATCCCTCGGGATATCCTGTAATGTTCAGAGAACATCGTGAGAACCAAGGGAAATAAGGTAGGAATTGGTGTTCTTCTTAAATTTCTGGAGGATATATGCCTCGGGGAACACCTCCCTTGGCAATGTGTTCCATAGCCTCGCTGTTCGTTGGATGAACGAGTCTTTGGAAAGAGATGTTCTGCAGGTCTCCAAAGTGACCACGAAGGGGTGCGAAGCCTCAACTCGACCGGTTAATCTAGCGAGGACTGCCGAGGGAGGAACAATTATTATTGATATTTCAGAAGAACATCGTCCATGAAAATATCTATCAAATAGAGCCAGATCGCCAACTTTTCTACGGTGTTCCAGAGAAGTGAGCGAGTTTGTGAGCGAGGCGAATTACCCTTTTTTGGACAGAATCCAACAGTTTCAGGGTATGTTTGGATTGGTTTGGATGCTGCACTCCAAATATGGGGGACAGTAAGTGAGTGTACAGAGGAACAGGCTCGGGAATAGGGCTAATGAATTTTTTCAACCAGTTTCGAAATGAATATGAGAAAAGTGAAAAGCACATTAGAACGAATGGTGGATGCATCAACTTATGTTGGGAGATAATGTGAAAGATTGATTTCCTAATGTAGATGGGCATTGAGAATGTACCTTTTCTTGATAGTGACTATAAAATGCTCTGCAGAAAGATAATTCCGGATTGACTCTTAGTTTAGTTGAATCTATATAAACCCAGCAATATGCATGCATGGCTTTTCCATTTATAATATAAATGCTTCTCTTCCTTCGTGAAATCTTCCAGCAAAATACGACTACATCTTGAACTTCGTGTCAACTCAATTGATTGTAAAGTGACAGAATTATCTCGAATATTCAGATCATCGTAATATATAACCTATAGAACCTATACCCATCCCTTCATGCCGGTTATAAGGGTTAAGACTGTAAGGGTAAAATTTATGATATTTTCAGAGAACCACATCGGTGACCTTTATCTACGGTCGTATGTCCCTTTCCGATTGAAACACCCTGTATATATATATATACTCACTGACACTTTCAAAAGTCATAATTACGTCGCTCTCGTCAATCTGATGCTGCTCTTCCCCGCTAAAATAAGCCTCCGAACTCCTCTTCCTCCTCCTACCAACACCCTCATCGACCTCCTCTTCCAACAGGGACTCGTAAACGTCCAGCAGGAACCTGGGCGCCGATTTCCGCAATGGGCTCTTCTCGATTTTTCTCGGTCTGTTCGGCAGCCCCAGCAAGCTCAAGATCTCCAGCTCCATCTCTTTTTTCTCGTCCCCGGTCATCATCCTGTCGATTGCCGTCTGATCGAACCCATTGTCGAGGTAGATGCCCGTTCGGGGTGTGGAAAAGACGGTAACAAAGTCGGCTGTGAGCAGACAAAACACTAACGTGATCTCGGAACGCATTTTCCGGGCGCGCACTAGATTTGAAGCGGTTAAATGATGGTTGGATGATTGGACGGCATCTCCGTGAGTTGACTAGAGAAAGAATGAAGCACGACTGGATGCTGGATGCATTATTTGTGCGGTGCAGACTACTTAGGCGCCTAAGATAAAAGCCGTGTGGGCAGGTAGTATTTACTTAAACTCAGAGGCGGCGAGTGCATAGGGGCATCGGGGCCAATTCACCCATCAATACAATTCAATACAGCGAATATATGGTGTTATTGCCTGAGAAATATTGTTATTTATTGTGTAATTCAAAAATCATTTATATATACAGGCGGGTGATTTACGTAGGGCTATTAGAAATCTATATCAGTTCAATTTTGAGAAAAATTTCCGAACAGAACTGAGCACCAAGAGAGAATGAAGCACAGAATCCATCCAAGCACTGGAAAAGAATACCAAAAACACTCGAGGAAACTGGAGCAAGAGTGTTTGGGCCTCGTACTAAATTTTCCTAACCGATGGGCCAGTTTCCCAGCGTTTCTCAAGCAGAAATTAACGCCATAGAAGGGTGCATTCAGTTCAACCTCGATAGAAATTACCGGAACAAGGAAATCGCTACTCTCCGATAGCCAAGCAGCCATCAAAGCCTTGAGCTCCTTCAACATCAACTCGAAAATGGTATGAGAATGCCTAAACAAACTCAAAATTCTAGGCAGTATCAATAAGGTAATGATCCTCTTTTGGGTGCCGGGGCACATTAGAGTTGAGGGAAATGAACAAGCGGACATTCTGGCACAAAAAGGAGCATGTATCCAACGCCACTGATCGGACCAGAACCAGTCTGCGGCTTTGGAAAGTATTATTTCCAAGCTGAAGGAGCAATGAGAGTAGCACAGTAGCGAAGACTTCCAGGACTGCGGCAGCCAAAGATCTCCTCGGCAATTTCAACCGAGCAAGATCGAAGACTGATCAACCTCAGCAAAATTAGTCTCAAAGCAATGAAGGGATTTCTAACGGGGCATTGTAGACTCAAAGAACATCTACCAAGGAAGCTATAGGCTAAGAGGAGGAAAGCACCTGAAGATTCGACATCCCGAAACACCCCACCTAATATTGCTGGAGTGTTTTGCTGTACACCACAAAAGATCGAACATACTGTGAGCATACCAGCTGACCGTGGAAGAAATATCAGGACCAGATTCCCTCGTAATCCTCATATTCCTAAAAGAATAGTCCATCGAATGAAAATATAAAAATGAATCATTAGTGGGTAGCTTCGAATTATTCATTTTGACTTTTCTGGACCATGACATGTGTTGCTCACAAATACATATCCACACTTGTAATGCAAACAACACTTTCATGTTTTTCCAAGCATAAATTACTCTGTAGATACCTACTTACATACGTATGATGCAAATGTATGGAATAAATTCATTTCAAAACAAAACGACTTTCGAAAAAAAAAAAAAACTAGAGTTTAGAACTTTTTTTGACGTATTTTTTTAACTAGACGACCCTTCGATGTTCAATTCTCAGTAGCAGACCTCTGCAAGATTCAATTAATCACATGATAATCCATTTTAATTTCAATCTTCTCATGCAACATTTTGACTGTTGAATAGACGATCGGTAGACCTTTCAATCAAGGTGTCACATGACCCCTATTTGTATTTGAAAAAATCGTCCATTACGTCTTTACTCCAACACCGGTCACGTAACATCTCTCATATCAATATCATGAGATGAGGTTTTTGGAATTTTTATTAATGTCGCCCATTTCTGAAATAATGAATTTATTCCATACATTTGCATCATACTGTACTATATGTAAATGCTATACTTAAAAAGCAAAGCACAGCACTGGCCATTTTTTCTGCAGGCCTCTTTATCCATTTATTCAAATCTATAATGCATATAACTTTTGCTGGCAGATAAGGATTATCGCTGAACATGAATTGGAAATTAATTTTCATGGTATTGATGAATAAATAAAACTTATTTATATAATATAATAACATATTTTATTCAACAGCAGTCGATCATAATATTATGGCTTTGATAAAAAACTATGTACAAAAAACTATTATTTCGTCTCTTTGACTAGTCGAATATAAAAAAATAGATATACCTACGAACCTACCTAATGTGTGTTGTCGGTACAATTTCATGGAAGAGAATATATTGAATCTAACAAGTATTAATCGTACTAACGTGGCTCCGCGTGTAATTTTTTCAACTTCGTACGGCTATCATGAATCATTGAAACATGAAGGATTTAAAACTGCAATGGCTTAATCATACCCTGTACTCAAGATAAATTTGTACAAAAAAAATCGACCTTACCAGGCCTAGTCATACATCAACTAAAATTTATATCGGATGTCCCGAAATTTGTACCACAGGCAATATCTCTGTTCTGTTATCATTAAAACAACAATTAGAAAATTTGGAGTAAATTTTGTCATGATCTGTTTTCAATAGTCAATATTGAATACTAATATAATAAAGTTCAACATCAAAAATACCTTAAGACCTCAAACAATTAATATTCAGGTGACTACACAAATTTTGAACCTGTTCAATAGAACTCACAAATAAAATCTGAGTTTTGCGAGTGGAATTCAAAAATGCAAAGAAATGCACCTTTCTGGAATTCCAATATTATAATTGTTGTTTTGTGTTGCTGAAAACTGGAACTCAATTCGCATATTCCAGTATTTCTTAGATTTTTATCAAAACGTGATTAAATTTCTTACAGAAAATGTTCTTTGGGTTGATATTTTAATAAAAGTTCGACCTACTGAGTGTGGTATTTTCAACTTCCATATGGGAAGCCCTCATCAAATTTAAAGACATCATAGAGCAAATTGAAGACAACTCAAAATCACAATTCAGTAAAATAGAAAATCTCCCAGGAGGTATTTTATCAGTGACATCCACAACTTCTAACAACCATTTTCTTATATTTCTTCAGAATAACATTGACTTGGTCATCCAAGAAATGTAAAACCGAGATATGACTCAACTTGGTGGGCGCACAGCAGGGTTTGGGGAATTTCCAGGGGTACATCAATTGCACCAAGGTCTGGACGATGGCGTGGTTCGTGGCGTTCATGTGCGCATTGAGGGGAAAGTTGCATTCGCCCTTGCAGTAGTATGCTGCGTAACCTTCAGGGGCGATGATCCAATCCTGAAACATGTGAAATGTGAAATTATAATGGGCGAGTGGACTTTGGTAGGGGAAACGAGGGGACAAGGGGCTGGAATATTTCGAAAACCATTAGGTCAGAAAAAGTAGTATCCCCCTATGTTTATTGTAGTTGATGTATGAATTAGAAAACCTGGACCAATTGATAGCATATTCCAATAGTGTAATTTCTAAGTAAATTTTCTTTTTTCAATTATTTTCTGTCCATTATTTCCCTCATGATGGTAAATGTAGACGTACTGAATAGTTTGTTCATTATTCTTTTTCTATTTCTTCATGTCAATTGTGGACATATACAAATAGTCCACTATTGAACGCCGATTGATACATTTCGATATCTTCTCGATTGAAAAAGTTATGATCGAAATTATAAATTATAAGTGTGAATTCAACTATTGATAATTGGACATAACATCTTCATGATTTTATTCAAATGAGAGAATAACATTGAATGTGAAGGAAATGCATGTACAAAATTCATTATAGGAGCTTTTGAAACTGTATTTGTCAGAAAATGAAGTGAAAAAAAGAACAATAATTCAAAAAACATCAAAGAAAACAGAAACAATTCATTGCTGAATCTTTTGGTCTTCACCTTAGTCTATTCTTCTGAAGGTATATATTCCTCTCACAATATTTAATATTTCAGCACCTACATGTATATCTTGTACATTTTCAACGTTCATAAATTCACCTAAAGTTGACTTGGAAACTCCGAATCATTGATCATTGATCATTGATTCAGTCACGTCTCTCAGCGAATTTTTACGCCGAACTGCTGTTATGGCATTCTCATTGTCTCAAGTTATATCTAACACGCTCATTGTTCTTTTGTTGAATATTTGGGGCATTTTTCTGAAATATAAACTATGTTCCCTGGTATAATCAGCATTGTCCACTTTTGCACACATAATTCAAGCACTAATGTCCACTATTCCCAACAACAATAAATTTTCAGAGGGTAATAATGGAATGTGAAACTGATTTTTGAATTGAATTTTATTATTCGCTAGACACATAACCTCACTATGTGTTTACAAGTTTCTATAATAAGTTTTAGATTTGAGAGAAATATATGCAAGGAAGTAGGGCATTTTGAATGTCAAGTTCAGAAGCAGACGTAATCTGGAACAGAAATATTTTGCGGTATTATCGCATATAGCACGAGATTCACAACAGACAAAACTACTGTCGCCAACGAGACCGATGAATGACGCGGTGAATTTGAATTTTTCACCTGGTGTTTTCACTATTACCTTCTGCTCGTATTCCCTTCACGTCCCCAAGTGAATAATTGGCATTCAATCACTTCACTATGTCGCTAGGGACCTGAATTAATATTTGCACCACTCCTTACGCGTTTTTGATGTGAATAATGTGTTCATGTATTGTTCAAAGTTGTTGAATTTCAGAGCTCATTTCAAACGTGCCGCCATTTGGCCATGTTCTTCGATACGTCGGAAATATGGTGACGTCAGTTCTTATGGTGTCTCATTATTGCTCAGATAATCATCCATTCCCACTCATAAACGTAAGTGGAGGATATCGATGATACTTCCAAAGAATAGTAGGTTTCAGTCTTCAGTTTCTTTTCTATCAACGGGTAGGAGACGAGATAAATATTTGTAGTTCGGACTCCGTCTTTCTCACTAAATGTTTCCGCCTCGCTTGTTCCATAGGCGCATCTTATTACCGCGAAGAAGATATACGAGGGGATGTCCAAGATTATTCGAGAGCGAGTTATAAATATACAGGGTGTTAACAAATAAGTGTCACAACGGGAAACTGTAGATTTCTCATAATGAAAGAAACATTTCCTTCCTCTTCAAATTTTTTTTCCGGGCTCCCGTTTTCAAGATACAAAAAATCAAAAATGTCCAAGGAAATTGATCAAGAGCCCTAAAAGTAGTCATTATTGATGATGAAGTGTGTACGAAGGCTTGACTCCGTAGCTCAGACGGTTCCTGAGATAGTAGCAGAAAACAGATTTTTTTGTATTATTTTGACGCTCTGTATCTTGATAACGGAAGCTCGGAGAAAAATTTCGAAAGGGAAAAAAATATTTCTTTTGTCATGAGCAATCTACAGTTTTCCGTTGTGACACTTGTTTGTTAACACCCTGTATATATAGAGAAGTGAAGGGTTTTTTGATGCTGTGATATAAGTTGCCGTGAATTTCCGAAGTTAGAAGGGTCATTTCATAATATGAATGCAAAAGTATATATTATTTTTGAGAAACAATTTCTATATCCCAAGAATTCCATACCTGCCATTTCAAATCCTTGAAACTGATGTATAATGTCTCTATATGACAACTGCTTTGATCTAGTTTTCGTGCATTTTCTCGTTCTGAAAAAGAAAAATATGAAACATCTTCGAGAAATTCACCTACCTAACTACCTAGACTACACTTATCAGAATTGACTACAAAAATTAATACTTCCAAGATATAAAAGAAGAGTCCAGAAATTGGTGCAGGTTGTCGTTTTTCCGAGGATCGTAGGAAAATTTTCAACCTTTTTTGATTTTTTGCTGGAATGATTTCAAACAAAATTTCAAATTTTTTCGAAGGTTGGTAATAAATTATTGTGGATTTTTCGTATAGATGAGGTATCACTCTATCCTCTATCACTGCATGGTTATTATAACAAAATTGAGTGAAATTATATATTGTATAGTGATTAGTAAATATGTTTAGGTAATATGAGTAAGGTGGACCTCATTGATATAAATTCAAAGATCGATATGATTGTTATAGATTAGTTTGTTAGTGGCTATGATGGATTAATTATATGGAAATCCATGTTTTTGTGAGTTCATATGTATTATTGGAAAAAAATACGATGAAAAATGCATTTCGACTCAGTGATATCGAAACTCACTCCCTCTTTTATAACCGCTCATCATAACTGGATAGGTCTCTCTTTTTGTTCTGACTTCTCTTGTTGATTCTCTGGGTTTCACATGATTAACTGCTTTCAGGAAAGCGACCATAAATGGTTGAATTTCATCTTCGCCTTTTGTAGTCACTAGTCCTAAATCTTCGGGTCTTAGTTCGTGACCTAAATTAAAAGTTTCAATAGTAATTAAAAGGAGATAGGTGTACTCAAAAAAATTATAAACCAATTTATTTTATAAGGAAATTAATTTTACCTGGTTTTTCTGAAGGATGAACTGATAAGTACACTCCCTTGTTGGAGTCTGGCAAAGCCACCCAATTTGCTAAACACCCTGTCATGTTGAGGCTGATCCATCCAGAAAATCCAGCACTAGTATTTTGTGCAGAAATATATTCTAGTTCCCTCTCCCTGAAATAAATGCCATTAACCCATTAGCGCCTAGTGGTACCAACTGGTTCCATTAGCCATTGAACAATTCGAACGCCAGGGCAACATATTTGCAAAGAGGGTAAATTTGATACTATCTATCTGATACCTATTCTATATCCGGCCGTCAGTTTGAAGTGAATTCCACTCATCATTTTGAATTAAAACATGTTGTACCTAGAGCTTTTTTCAGAATATGCCTAATTAAAACAAAAAATACTACTGGAGGCAATGGGATCACTAGATGAAAGTAGCAAATTTTTTGAAGCTCTGATGGGATAGGTGAAGCTACATATATTTTTTACCCTGTTGAGGGTCTAACTTGAAGAACAAGAAACTGATTAATTTCAACGAATCCCAATAATCACTGAACTATATGGAGCCATTCGAACAAATGTCCTAATACAAAAATTTAACTCACCTCCAAAAAGTATCCAAAAGTTTGAGACACATTTTCGTCGAAACTATACTTGTCCGATTTGGACGATTTTTGTTTTGAATTATAGGTCATATCCTTCTGAATATTGGCGTGCGAACTGTATATTCGCATAAGAACCTCTTTTTTATGAATACCGGGTGTAGCAATTATAGCATGTTTTCTGCATGGAATTTGTAATACCCTGTGGAGTGTAACAGTTACGTTATCAAGTTGAAATTAAAAGTAGAAATACAATTTTATAGCATAACATGATTTCATTTACAACCATATATGTAATGTCATTATTTACATCATTGAAGGTTGGGAAGTGTCACATTACACACCTCTACTTCCCGCCCTTACTTATGTAATAGTTTAGGTATGTTCACAAAGAAACAGAGGTTTATAGATTTTGATCGAAATATGATGATGGTTGTAAATAATAGTCTATTACGTAATATGTGTTGTAAGAAGCATATTACGCGCGAATGATTGCTTTACAACACGCATTAACGTACTATACTTCACCTACTGCCATTTAGTACATCAAAAAAGTTTGGACAAACAGTCTGAATTATAATTCTTAACAATTATGTCTTGTCAACTTTCTATAGTGACCGTAGGTGAGACCGTAGGTAAAATAGTATACAAATCTCGGTAGGAAGTTTCATTCCTGTCTCGAGAATCTCGAGATCATAGCTAATCTCGACGCTTTGCGTCTCGGTTAACTAACTAATCTTACGACAGGAATGAATCTCTTTCCACCTCGGTGTGTAATATACTATTATTGAATTCAATTGACATTATAAGCACGAAAGTAGCAGGCTATGGTCTAGGAAGGCATTTCTTTAACTGGTCGAATAAAACTGTTGATCATTAATAGAAGCCTTACAGCTGAAAGGTGTAAAGCATAGACCTATTTAATAGGTCTATGGTGTAAAGATTTTTGTTGATGCACGATAACGCCAGGTCTTACCTCGCCCGAGTTGTGAGAAATCATCTAGAGGAAGAGTCTGTATCGCTACCATGGCTTGACCAGCTCGGGGCCCGGATTTAAATTCCATTGGGAATCTCTGGAACTTTATCTTGGAACAAGATTAAAGAGAAACGTAATTTGAATACTTTGGAAAACACACGGCAGAGATTGATAATTCAAATTTGGGAATACCTAGACCAATAACATGACACTAGGTATCTTATTTTGAGTATAGGCCGTCTTTGCCAAGAAGTTATTCGTGCCCGCGGCGGAAATACTCGCTATACTGACCCTTTCGTTTGAGTTGTGATTCTGTTTCGTTTTTTCGTTGTTTAATTTGGATATTAGTAGTAGTAGTAGTAGTAGTAGTAGTAGTAGTAGTAGTAGTAGGTGGGGAGGCTGTAGCCAAGAAAGTAGGCCCCAATGGGCCCTTTTTGCTAACCCCTGCTCTCCACATATCTACGCTTCCTTCACCTAGATTTCCTTTACGAATCTCCCTGACCTTCTGATGAAAGCCAGTATGTCCGTCCACTCTAATATAATCAAGTCCTCCTGTTGAAGTTTGTCTACTCCAAATATTTCAAATCTCAGCCTTCCGTACGCCTCGCACTCGCCGAGGAAATGGAGTAACGTTTCCTCGATATACCTAGTACAGGCTCCGGCCCCAGAAACGGCTCCGCGGATCCGGCCCTAGCAAGTTCGGCTGCTGTTTCGTTTCTGGGCACCCCACTGTGACCCGGGACCCATACCAGTTCAACTTCCTTTGTTTCTGCTAATATCTCAAGGGAATTTCCACATTCCTGTACCAATGCTGAGCTTGGTCTGGGATGACAGATTGCCTTGAGTGCTGCCTGACTGTCCGAACAGATGTAGATCTTCTGCTCTGGTCACTCTTTCACCTCATGTCTCTCTGCTACGACGAACACCTCAGCTTGGAAAACTGTGGTGTATTCTCCTAGAGCGTAGCTTTCTCGTATGTTTCCCCTCTCGGGATCCGTCTGTGTAACATACTAAGCTTCCTGGGCAAAACTCTACTGTATTGTTTTTCCATTCCTCTCTGCTTGGAATGGTAAGTTTGAACTTCCTATTCCATCTCAGCTTGTCCTGTACTTTATTCACTCTGAGATTGGAGATAGGAATCTCTTGCTCCACCCACTCTGCTATTTTTGCATGTCCTGTTATTGTTCCTTCACTTGCCCAGTTTCCTGAGTCCCGCATCCTTAGGTGAGCCGGCATCGCCTCCTTCTTTATCCAGATTTGAAGCGGTGGTATAGCCCCAGCATTACTTCTAATGCTGCCGTTGGCGTCGTCCTCATTGCACTTTGGATATTAATTTTCCATAAAATCATGTTAACCTATAAAATGGTATTTCTCGAATAATGATGAAGGATTGAATTCAGAAAAGAAATGTTAAAAAAAGATTAGGCTAAAGTGTAATTTCAATTCTAACTTGATATTGAGACAACTCAACTTAACATGCATCGTATCACACATTTCCTAAAAAAACACGCGGTAATTGCTACACCTGGTATGAATTAAAATCGGTTTTTATGCAAATACAGTTTGCACACCTATTGCTCAGATAGAAATAATCTGAGTAGTTTTTTTTCCTAAACTTTCGGTTATTTCTCGGAACTTTAATTTATTGGAGAAGTGTATATTAATATAACAGCTCAAAATTTATTCATAAATTTGTAAGAATGGTCCTTATTAATATAACCGAATATGTTACTATTGAAGCGCAATTTGTCCAAATGGTATAAATGTGAATAATTCGAAAACCAAGGAGTATGATGTTTTGTTTTCTACACGGAACATCTGCTATTTGAAGGACATTTTCTGTATATATGTATATATACACATTATTGAAATCAACACATTATTGTTTATTCATCTTCAAGAAATCTCCATATATTATACATATATAGCATTTCAGTTTTCATTATATAACCATTCTCAGTTCTTACCCGTCCTCTGTTTTTATAAGTTGGTACACAGTAATGGTATACTTGGCATCTGGATTTTTCAAGGATGATTTTCCTGTGTTTTTGTAAATTCTCAATTCTGCGCCTACAATATCTTCGGCCTCTGGAACATCAGAAACATTGAACCATAGCCTTTTTCCTCTTTCATGCCTGACACTGGCTACATGATGTTCTAAAAATAAATAAATAAACTTGTAGTTATGCATTTTATAGTAGGTAGGTAATGCTATTTTTTTGTTTTATAGAGCACCCTGTTTTTTATCTTATCCAAAATTGATTATTTTTGCAACCGGCTCAAAAGTCGTTCATTTTTGTTCCAAAATTAGCTCTTGAAGTCGACGTTTCTCTTACTGACACAATAAAATGATTAGTATGTATGTTGCTAGGCAACACTTCTAGTGGCTAGGAGCTAAAGTTGAAGTTTAACTCCTAGGAAGTGAAAACGTGTCGGATGCCTGCTGATATAATAGCTGCTTTGACAGTGACATGCTCAAGTGACCCAAAATGGTGGTAACTTCACTTATATATTTAAGTAATTAGATATCAATTATTTCTATTGCATGTTTCATTCGGACCACAAGTGACTCTGTTTGACTCGCAAAATGTGGGTGCTCGGCATTGCGGTCGCTCCGCCTCGCAAACGCAAATAACGCTTATCAAACAAAGTGTCACATTCGATCGAGCATTCGATCCTACTAAAACAATGTATTATTTTCTACAAAGCGAAGTAACACACTTTTCAGTTTCCTACGTTACCTGAAAACCGTGCGCGAGATTAATTTGATGCAAAAATACGAACCAGAAATGCTCAGTCAACAAGGATTCATGAAAAACAGCAAGAATAAACTACCTCTCTGATAGATTGGATCGAAATAATTCCACTAGTGGCATCCATATATCTCTATGGAACATTTGAATATGCAATTTGAAGAAAAAATACGAACTAGAAATGCTCGGTCAGCAACGATTTTTGAAAAACAGCAAGAATATACTACCCCTCTAGAGGGGTTGATCGGAATTAATCTACTGGTGGCATCTTTATATTCTCATCAAATATTCGAATATGTCCTTTGATGGAAAAATACGAACCAGAAGAATTTTTGGGAGTTTAAAGTACCCTGAAGGGGTTGGTTCGAAGATACTTCTATTGTGGCATTTTAATTTCTTCATACAATAATCGAATGTGTGACTTGGAAAAAGATACGAACCAGAACCAGAAATGCTCGGTCAGCAAGGATTTTTCAAAATCAGCAAAAATCAACAATTCCTCTGAAAGGGTGGATCGAAATTATTCTACTGCTGACATCTCTATATTTTCATATGAAATATCCAAATATGCAAGTTGAAGCAAAAACTCGTACCAGAAAGGCTCGTCAGCGAAAATTTTTGAAAAACGGCAAGAATAAACGCCCGCAAAACCGGGCGGTAAAGTGCACTTTACGGCCCGCTAGTGCATAAAAATTTTAAAGTTGAAAAATCTCGATTTTGAACACTTTATATCCCTGAAACCATTACAGCTAGACCCCAACTGTGATGCATTGATGAATTCAGCTCTTCGGAGAGAATCTAAGAATGCAATAAAATACAAGGTGTTCTATTTGAAATAACAAAGTTGTTGCTTCTTTTCTTTAGAAGCGGCAACGCCGCAGGGCTGAAAATATTTTAGAAAGATGTCCCCCTCGAAAATGTAGTTGACCTGTTTCAGTTTTTTTTTGATAATCCGGTTTTGGCGACCTACAGAGCCTCTGTTTCGTTTTCAAAGGCCCACTCTGTGCATATAAATTACTATAATTTATTTATACTCGTATTTATATATTCAATTTGAAGGCAAAATACGAACTAGAAATGCTCGATCAACCAGGATTTTTGAAAAACAGCACTAATAAACTACCCCTCTGAAAAAGTTGATCGGAATTATTCCACTGGTGGCCTTTTTATATTTACATAAAATATTCATATAATATGTTATTTTATGGAAAAAAATACGGACCAGAAATATTTGGTCAGCAAGGATTTTTGAAAAACAGCAAGAATAACTACTCCTCTGGAGGGGCGGATCGGAATTATTATTCCACTGGTACAGTGGTAGGACATCTTCATATTCTCATTAAATATTCAAGTATGTCATTTGATGAAAAAAATACGAACCAGAAATAACCAGGTGATCCATAACCGAGTCCATAACTTACAGTGGAGGTGTTATAAATCGGGGGTGAAAGAACTTACAGTGGTGGAGTTGTGACTGTAAGTTCTTTCCCCGAACCAGAAATACTCGGTCAGCAAAGATTTTTGAAAAACAGCAAGTATAAACTACCCCTCAGAAGGGGTGGATCGAAGTTGTTTCACTGGTGGCATCTTTATATTTTCATACAATATTCAAATATGCGAGAGAGAATAAAAAAATACGAACCAGGCATGCTATCGGTCAGTGAGGATTTTTGAAAATCAGCAAGAATAAACTACCCTTCTGAAGGGATGGATTGAAATAATTCCACTGGTGGCATCTATATACCTCTATGATATATTCAAATATGCAATTTGAGGAGTAAATGAAAACCAGAAATGCTCGGTCAGCAAGGATTTTTGATAAACAGCATAATAAACTACCCCTCTGAAGGGGTTGATCGGAATTTTTCCACTGGTGGCATCTTTATCTCGATCTCTTTTTTTTTTCATTAAATATTCAAATATGTTATTCGATGAAAAAATACAAACCAGAAATACTCGTTAAGCAAGGTTTTTTGAAAAACACTCATACATTTTTATATTATATTCAAATATGGAATTTGAAGAAATAAATCGATTCAGAAATGCTCGGTCAGCATACTTAATAAATTGGCCAGCAAATTATATTTCCCCGTATACAGGGAGTTCCTTAAAGACATGCTAATCGAGGGGGTGATTCTCTGACTCATTTTAAGAAAAAAACGTCATATGAACGTATGTCCTAAAAGTCTTCACTTTTGAGGTACAGGGTGATGAAGTTTTGAAAAATATTCAGTTTTTTGATGATAACTAAGACAATATTGTATACATCCATATAAAATTTGGTACACGTCTTTTATGCATCAAGGTCCATTTTCTGATGTACGAAAATATTCATTTTCTCTACCAGTGGCACCGTTACGGGAAAATTATTGTTTATATTTTACTTAAAAGTGAGCAACGACTAAAAATTTTCAAATTTCATACAATACTATGAAAGGCTATTTAATTATGTACAAAAAAGATCCTCTTGTTGATACTCCATAGAACGCTTCGTTTTCGAGAAAAAACGGAAAAACGAAACTAGACTTCAAATTTTGATCTTTACTGGATAACCACCGTATGTAACATGTCGAAATTGGTATACCGATTCAGTCACATAGCAGACTGAATTTTGCCATCACGAAAAGCTATACAGGGTGGACAAAAAATTAATCTATGCATATTTTCAACATTGACACAGGACACAGGACGTTTACGACATATGTTCCTAAGAAGTTTTATTCTTGAAATGGGTCGAAGCATCGGCCCCTTGAATATTAGCATATCATTAACTTATATAAAAAAATATGATGTGCTGTAATATTATACTAACCCCCACTTTCGAAGGTCATGATCACATCACTCTCGTCTATCTGATGCTGCTCCTCCCCGCTAAAATAAACGTCCGCACCCCTCCGCAATCTCGGTCCGTCCTCGTCCTCCTCGTGCTCGGCCAGGTTCCTGTAGATATCCAGCAGGAACCTAGGCGCCGACTTGCGCAGCGGGCTCCTATCAGCGCGCCTGGGCCTGTCGGGCAGCCCCAGCAAATTGAGGATCTGCAGCTCCATCGCTCGCGTCTCGTCCGGGCTCAGCAGCCGCTCCACGGCCGTCTGGTCGTGGCCATTGTCCACGTAAATTCCTGATTTCGGGGAAGGCGAGACTGTCCAGAAATTCAACAGGGACACGCACAACACTATCCGCGAGATCATCTTCTCAAGGTCTACTAGTGATCGATGATTATCGATTATTATTATCGACAGCGCAGATGTTCACTGTGTACTGGAGACAAAACAACATCGAAACAAGTTAACGTCAGCGCAACGGTACCCATATAAATTATGAGGAGAATTCCTTGGATGAGGATTGAGAGACTGACTGGCGCAGAGTCAGTGGCGTAACTTCATATTTTGGGTCCCCCCGCCAAAATCATTTAGCTCCCCCACGAGACAAACCTTTCCATTAATAAACAAATTATAGCTCTTAGGCTTCTTCGCGTAACTGATGAGACCCGGAAGGTCGAAAGCTCACACATTGCACCCTAAAATATCGTTGGGTTAAGATGAAACCCGAATCCCAGTTTACTGCTTCGGATTCATTTGACAAAAGCAAAAGAACTTTTGGAACTTCGCAAATCTCCACGAATTTTGTGGCGCGTTTGTTCTTTTTGTTCCAAAGCAAAAGTTTGAGATTCCACAGAAGCGAAAGTATTCTTTGATTCGAGAACCTGTTAAGTTTGTGGCTTGTTTCGACTTCGGTTCGTCTTCTTCAGTCAGGGAAAGTATCCTGAGACAAGTTGGAATTTTTCTGTTTTAGAAGTTAATCTACAGAGAATAGTTTTGAGCAAAGACAAAAGTGAAAAGTGCATAGCACAAAATACAAAAGTGGCTCGATATTGTAGAACTCCGCAGATGCCGACACTGGCACAGCCTTTGTGTCTTTGGCAATATGAACAAACATTGTTCTTTGCGTTTGAGAACTACTTCTTGAACCAACTAGATCAAATTACGTTTCCAGTCAGAAGTCCCTGCTTTCCATGAACTATTATAGTTATATTGAATAACCAACAAGCTTCACAATACGCTTTATTTTCTTTGGGTGAATAACACAACCATTTTCTTGGAATAATTTGCCCAGCATGACTCTTCTGTGAATAATAAAAATTAGAGAAACTCGTCTTCCGGAAAATTTATATCTGGTTGAGACGGGCCATTACCTACAATAAACATTTTTATTGTGTTGGTCAATTCTCGGCCACTGAAATTGCCTTTATCACAAGGCTTAGAAAAATTTGATATTTTTTCTATATACTTACCTTCATTTCTCTTCTCCAAACTTTTTTCAATACAAATTATTGTCACTGACAAGCTAGAGAATTTTTCTTTTAGGCTCTCTGATAGAAGAATTCTTTAAACGCAGTGACATTTTGGGGCAAATCTTCTGATTTGTCCTTACTACACGTATATTGAAATAATATTCATATTTTTATTTTATAGAAACGATGAGAGGAAATCCCAAAAAAATCTGGAATAATAGTTTCTCTTCCATAATAATTGCAGAGTCAACATCCATTCTTGTTTCAATCATCATAATGCTACTACTTTTTTTCATGTTATTCTGGTTCCCACGAGAAGGGATATCCTGTAATGTTCAGAGAACATCGTGAGAACCAAGGGAAATAAGACAGGAATTGGTGTTCTTCTTGAATTTCTGGAGGTTATATGCCTCGGGGAACACCTCCCTTGGCAAATGTGTTCCAGAGCCTCGCTGTTCGTTGGATGAACGAGTCTTTGGAGAGAGATGTTCTGCATGTCTCCAAAGAGACCACGAAGGGGTGCGAAGCCTCAAATCGACGGGTTAATCTCGCGGGGACTGCCAAGGGAGGTACAATTGCTGATATTTCAGAAGAGCATCGTCCATGAAAATATCTATAAAATAGAGCCAGATCGCCAACTTTTCTACGGTGTTCCAGAGAAGTGAGTGAGTTTGTGAGCGAGGCATCACCCACGAGACGAATTGCCCTTTTTTGGACAGAATCCAACAGTTTCAGGGTGTGTTTGGGTGCTGCACTCCAAATATGGAAACAGTATTCCAGGACAGGTCGGATCTGTGCCTTAATAGATCATAAGCAGCTGAGTGGAAGTGAAATACCCAGACAACACAAGTGAATCCATTGGACAACCAATGGATGTCCAGCTATGGATACCCTGGACATCCATTGGATGGACGGCATTGTCCAGTATTTGTCCAATGGACATCCATTGGATAATACATGTCCAACAGTTTGGACATACATTGGAAGTCCATTGGCTTTCCATTAGACATCTGATGGATTTCCATTGGACATCCAATATTTGTCCTTTCCATTGGAAGTCTATTGGATACTCATCAGACATCCAATGGATTCCCAATGAAGATCCATTGTATGTCCATTACATTTGAAATACCATTGTATACACATCAGAACTCTAATGGATGTCTACCAAAAATCCAACTTATGTCCATTCCAATGATAAGTCTATTGGATACTCATCAGGAATACATTGGATTTCCATTGGATATCCAAATTTTGTCCAGCCAGAACGTAGACATTAAAAAAAAGTTGTCCTTTGAGGGGATTGAACTCCCGACCCCGATCTCGTGGATCACAACGCTAACCTCTGGACCACTGAGCTGTTATAAATATTATAGCAAGTATTTCGTATTCACGGTATTTCACATCGAGAGAAAATGCAATTTGCTGAAGTTTAGTGCCGCAATAAAGCTTTTACACGGCCCTTATCAAAAGTGTTACAGGGTGATTCATCTTTTTCGAAAGAAACCCGCCGTATAATATTTGCCCATATCGATCTTATTTGCACGGCCTAAATGGTTTAAAATTGAAATTGGATGAAAATCAACTTTAAAATAAGTACCTACCTCTATATATAGGTACGTAACCTTCAAAAATGATGAGACGTATAAAATCTTGAAAAATAGTACCGAGTGCGAAGTTGTCCGTGATTAATGTTCATATATATATTATATATTATTGGTAAAAATATTTCAATTGAAATAGAAGAGTCATAAAAATGACACATATATACTTTGCGAAACGATTTCCATTGGATAAGTATGATGGATATCCATTGGCTGTAAAAATTTCGTTGTCCATTGTACAACTACAAAATGGATGTCCATTGTATGTACAAATCTCTATGTCCATTGTACATATACACAATGGATGTCCATTGGACATCCATGGACATCCGGCTACCTAATGGATTCAAAATGGACATCCAATGGATGTATGTGTGTTATCTGGGTAGTTCCTGGCTCTAAACAGAAAACCAAGTTTTTGGGATGCACTTTTCGCAATTGATCTCACGTGATTTTCCCAGGAAAGGTTATTGCTGATAGTAATACCAAGCATCGAAATGGATGTCTTCAAAGGTATAGTTAGTCCTGACATGCTTATGTTTGACACAGTGAGATCGGATTTTGTAGAGAAAAGGCATATGCTTGTGTTTTGTTTGCATTGAAATCTACCAAGTTATTGGATCCCCATTCGAGAATTGTTGCCAAGTCCATATTTATGTTGTCAACATTTCTTTGTGGACATTCATCATTATATTCAACTGTATTATCCGAAACAGTAGTGGTATTCGTAATGAACGTGGTAATCTTGGAGATTTTACACTTCTCATCTTCTGACTTTTGTTTCCTTCTTCTTTTCGAAGCACCACTAGTTTTAAGTTCTCCATTCAAAATAATTGGCTTGTATCGTTAATTTCACACATCAACCTGGACCTACACTGAAAAAAACATGCCTGCACTATTCGCAGAAATGGAAAAATTATTTCTATGGTATATTCATAATAATGATGGAAGTAAGATATGGTGTAATCACTGATGCGCTTTTGTTTCAGAAAGTTTACTCGACCTCTCGAGAACAGTGAGAGCAATGGTTCCGTCGATCTTCTAATAGATGGCTACATTGCCCAATTATGATGTCTGTCAGTTTTGAAATTGTCGCAGATTTTTCGAATTCAGAGTTGAATTATCCCACTGGTACATATGTTTCGTGTACCTAAAATGCCATTTGCCATTTTATTTCCACTCGTCACAGCAGCAATAGCACATCGCCATCTAGAGGGAAAATGTAGAATCAACGTCTCGCTCGTTGTGACGTAGTGAAATCATAGTAGGTGGTCGAGTGATTTCTCAGAAATTTTCAATGCGTAATAATGGCCGAATACGTGCACCATATCCTACTGCCATCATTTTCATAATTAAAAAATATTCATGTATCAACCAATTTGGCTGAGTCCTTGCTCTGGTTGGTGGACCCAGGGCTCTAGGCCCCCCTCCGAGGAACGGGCCCCCCGCAACCGCGGGGTTTCGCGGTGTAGTAGTTACGCCACTGCGCACAGTGAACCTTTTACTAGAATTATTACAATGTCGTGTGGGCAGGTATATATTATTCGAAACAGGTTAGATTGGAACGAGAAGTGAGAACAAGTGAGTACACCATACACATTCACGGTCCCCACCAGAGTGTATTATTGTCTCTGATGGCTCTCTGCTGGTCCCCTCTTTTTCAGGTGCCTCTCTATATACAGTGTGACCCACTTCTAATGGAAACACCCTTGTATATCTATACTTGTATCTAACGTAATCGTTGGGTAAGGTTCCTGTAATTTACTGGAGCGAGAGATATACCTACCAAAAATGCACTCTCTGACCAAGTGGGGTCACTGCAGGGGCGGCGAGTGCATGCATCGGGGCCAATGCACCCATGTAGGCAGTGGGTATGGGTGCAATGCACCCATTGGCCGAAACAAAAAAAACAAATTAGATAGGGCGAAATGAGCACTTGTAAATATTGCACATTGTTGCTGGACAAGTATACGTAAACAACCATGCGAACCGTATATTCGATTCGCGGTCGATGTGTATCCTGGGTTTGACACTGTGCACTGTACAAAGATATTCCGTTTTAAATTTTAGACATTATGACATCACAGGTTACAAGTGCCAGTTTGAAAAAAAAAATAAAAATGGCGATTTGAATGAATGAATTAGACATAAATACATTGGCTAATGAATCCATTGATAATATTACAGTTAGTATAGGAATACCTTTTCAATGAAATAACTGGGGGGGGGGTTACTTGCTAATTTTTCCGAATCCAAAAGTTTCTCTATTCCATTTTTTGAATACTGAATAGAT